TCCTTTTGTCCTTTCATTTACCCAGTACTGAGGGATGAACTTTAGGCCTCAGACCTGCTGGGTAAGTGCTCTACCAGTGAGTTAGATAGCCAGCCTGGTCTTGTTCTCATGCAAGAGAAAAAGGAACCTACTCCATCTGCTCTCTCTCCTGTGCTCCTTACCCACAGGAGTACATGAGGTCAGACACAGAAGTTGGTTCTGGAAGAGAGCCCTGGAGTCTTTGGGGGTTGGGTTTCCACTGGGCATCTTGAGTATTTGTGCCAGTGTGAGTGGGGGGATGATGTCTCAGCGTAGCTTGGCCCTCTTCCTGGAGTTGTGTGGTTAGCATACATTGGTTTGCAGGAAGCCATTTTCAACAAGAGCACTGGGAAGGTCATCTTAAAAACATTCAGCCTCTACAAGAAGCTGCTGACTCTTCTCAGAGCAGGCCATGACCAAGGTAAGATGTGGATAAAGGCTTGGGGAGGTCTGGATGGGTCACCTACTCAAGGAATGAGGGTCCCCCAGACATATCATGACTTGCAGGGTGGGATCCAGGCAGATATCTCATCCCAGGTCTCAGCCTATCAGGAAGGATGGAAGCTCCTCATTAGCTCTCTGAGGCTGGGTGAGGGTAGTAGGAGTCAGTCACTCTGTCAGGTAGACTAGCAGGGAGTCATTCTGTTCTTCAGGAACCACTTTGCCTTTCACAGACCCAAGTCCTGTATCTGAATCCTATCAGCTGTGTTAGCCTTGCAGTGAGAGGATGGTCAGAGGAAGTCCCTAACCCTTGAACTTTTGGGCCTGTAAGCTAGCCTAACTGAAGTAACAGAAGGTTCTCACAGGTCTCTTCTCTCTGTGTTCAGCCCAGGCATTGTGCATTACAAATGTGCAAGTAACTGGGTGTGCATCCCACAGGACCTTCAGTCGGCTTTAACATAGGAGTTAGGCCCCAAGGACTTCAGGCCTTTAACCTGTGTGGAGTGCTGGCAGTATATATCCAAATGTGCCATTCAAATGTGGTAGTACACAGCCAATGAAGACCAGAGCAGGTTTGTGGGGATGTGGATTAGTGCACTGGCTGAACTACCCCAGGCTGCTTGTTGGGAGCCCTGACACACCTGAGAACCAGTCGCCACAGGCAGCAAGCCACTGGGTTAGCCTTGTGTCACTGGCAGTGGAATGATCTCATAGGTTTCCTAGTGGCTCTTGGGAAAGCAGTATCAGCCATGCATTAGTTAGCAATGGTTTTCCTGTGCAAGGAAATAGCAGGGCTACTCCACTGCCTTAGGTAAAATTAGGCAAAAAAGGTAGCTTGAAGATGGCAGCTTGGGCTTAGTGATCCCTGCTGTAGGATTGCTCAGGCCAGCCAGCTTCTTCCTGCCTAAAACTGCAGGAGTGATGAGTCTCCTGGGGGTATTCTTATCCAGAAGTTATTCTGGAGCCACAGTCCAGAATGTGGAATAGCAAATAAGTTTGTCACTAATGCCACTTCTACTGTTCAGCAGAGCTGGGCATCCTGAAACAGGCTGTCCTACCGCATAGGGTGAGAGCATAGGGATGACTGTTCATCTGCAAACCCTTCCGTCCCTAGTGGTGGTCCTGTTGAAAGACATCCAGGATGTGAATGTGGAGGAAGAAAAGGTTCGTTATTTTGGGAAGGGCTACACCGTGGTGCTCCGGTTTGCAACAGGCTTCTCCCATCCCCTTACTCAGAGTGCAGTCATGGGCCGACGCAGGTAAGGGTGGTATAGAGCAAGACTGGGCTATCCTTTTGGGTTTCTCAGGGCAGCAGGGAAGAAGCTGAATGTCTGTAGAGGGGAATATGGGGCTGCAGGAAGGATGGATATGCTTAGAAGTAGCTTTGCCATGGGTATCTGTAGGGGAGGCAACAGAACAAGGTTGAGGTCTGTTAAGAGTAGGACTGAGGCCAGAGATACTGGGCCCATTTGGGACCCCTGGGGTTCTTGTAGGTATACGGTAGGAGATGAGACAGTGTGGGTCTTTTGTGGTATGTTATGGAACTGCACCCTTTGCCATGGTGACCTGCTTTCTTGATGCTGGCCTAGTGATGTGGAAGCCATTGCCAAACTCATCACTAGCTTCTTGGACCTGCACCGCCTGGAGAGCCCCTCAGAACGGTCACAAAGCAGTGACAGTGAAGCTGATGGCCTGGGTGACCAGAGCTGACATTGTGGAATGACTGCTGGTAAATGTCACCCATTTCTGACATGTCTCCAACTGACTTGCCAATTATGAGGGTGCAGGCAGATCCTGGGCATCTGCCTATGGCTCCTTGGGCAGTTCTTGTGTGGACCACCTGCCTTTTGCTTGTTTATGCTTCTATGCTTTGCAGAACCATGGGCTGGACATCTTCCACAACCCAGATTCAGGAGGTTGGTGCTATCCAGAGGAGGGCAGGATCTCAGAAATCAGTGCTTTCTCCAGTTAGACTGCAGCTCTGGCTTAGGTAGCACAGCCTGGTTTGGATAAGCTCACCCAAGGGCATCTGAGGTATAAGATGCCAGTCTTTCTTCAGCATAGGCCTAGTGCCTGCCTTCAAGAGGCCTTGCCACCCCAGGCTGTTGTAGTCAAGACTCCACTTCATAGTGAGACACCCATATGCATATAAGGAGGATCCACTCCTTCTGTGCATACTGGTTTGGACTTGTTGCTATAAATCCTGATGTCTCCTCTCCTTGACCAACCCTTCTCAAGATGGACATTTTGGAGGTCAGGGGCTTCCCTGAAGGCAGCTCTGAATGCTGGATGCCTGGGTGCTGCCTGGCTGCAGAACTCTCAGAGAAATCAGAGTGCTGCCGACTGCCCTGCTCCTGCCTAGACCACTTGTCTGAGATCCCAGCAGTGTTGCAGCCTAGCTGTTAGGAAGGGAAAGGCTCTCCCAACCCAATCTGGGAAGAAGCTGCTAGTGGAGGAAAGGCCACCTCTTCTGGCATCCTGTAGCCTTTAAGACCTGGGAGCTCCTTTACAGAAATTGAGTCTTAGCCTCTCAAGCCTTGAAAAGACCTGAAGAAGATAGGCATGTGATACACACCCCTATAAATCTCAGCCTTAAGAAGTGGGGCAGGAAGAAAGTTCAAGGCCAGTCTGTGCCACTGCCTCTTCTAACAAAAGTTGGTACCAGCCACTGATGGTTCTTTTCTGTTCTACTAGTCTTCTGAGTGGACTCAAGTCTCTCAAAAATTACAGTGTCCACTAAGTTCCCAGCTTGGCTTCTAGGCCTGAAAGCTGTGGACCTCTGGTCTACACACAGCCCCCCTCAAAAGTTGTGTACCATGCCTGGCCAGGGACAACTGGGAAATTGAGGAATTATATAGACAAAGAAGTCAAAGCAGCCCTGAGGCCACTGTACTTGGGCTGAGCACGAATAGTTAGGCCAGAACCCTTAACAGGTTTTCTTTGAAGTGACTGTTACCAGTTCTGACTTGGGGAACACGATCCCTTGAACATGCCAAAGTGAGCTTTTTAAATGGTCAAGTCAGAGAATTTTTTTCCACAAATGAAAAGTGTGAAATAACAGCTGTTGGCTTCTGGCTTGTTGCCTGCAGATTCTTAAGGTACTTCAGACAGAGGAGGAGGTTCTGTTTCTTGGGTGCTGTCATATCCCCTTCCTATGTTTCCCAGTGTTGGGACTCACTCCTCAGTGAAGGAATGAAGCCCTCTATGAGCCAGGGTGGTGGTAAAACGCTGATCCAAGTTTCTGTTAGTGGGACTTCTGCTTCTACTGTTTGTTTGTTTGTTTTTTATTTCATAATTAAAAAGCTCTACATGCAGATTGCAAATGAGTCTCCATGTGCCTTTTTCTGTTTTCAGCTTTGCCCAAGGTTACTGTTTATACAGTTTGGGAGCATATCTGCACATGTGTCCAGGCCCCACATTGGCTGGGCACTGAGGCAGGAATCTTGGTGTTGTCCAGGCTGATAAACAGAGCCCCAGCCCTTTAGGGGTTCTGACCTGTGTCCCAGCCTGAGCTGGTGGGTGGTGGCAGAGGGGCAGCTGCTTCCCCCAGGTCCTGCAGTAGACCCTGCAGACGCTGCATACTCGGGAGCACATTCTCCTCTAGCCACTCCTCTATGGTGTCCGGGTAGAAGGCCAGCTGCAGGGCTACCTCCAACTGCTGCACAAGGTTGCTCCACCTGCTCAGAAGGCTGAGGGCAACAGCAGCCATGAGCTTGACTTGATGAGAATTCCTGTTAAGGCTCAAGTTTACATAGCTAAACTCATGTCCTCAGCCCCTAGAGTCATTACTGTTCCATGCCTGACTTTACCATTGGGACGAAATAAATGAATGACTGGTCACATTTTAACAATCAAAAACCACTATGGCATGAACGTGTCATGCTGTTGGCAGCATGTTGCACTCAGTACAAGTGTATTCTTAATAGCCCAGCTTAGAGTCCTGAACCAGGGGAGGACACAGGCTGCCTGGGGCTCCAGCAACAAGGGCACTCAGCTAGGTTGCACCACGGAGTTATAGGGCCAGCATGGACTCTAGGTAGCCTGATTCCAAAGATGAACCTTGGGTCAGGCTGAACATGTGGTTGATGATCTGTCTCAGGCCAGGAAGCACTTAGCTGCTTGCTAATATTAGGGGCAATGTTATTGAACATGGCCTATCAATTGATCCAAGAGCTACAGCTGCAGTACCTGGAGAACTTGTCTTGCCTTAACACTGATAACCATAATCATTGCTACACTGTGTGCTCATAAAGGGACAGGGTGTTTCAGAGGCTGAACACTTGGGAGGATGAGATGATGGTGGCTACCTGAGTGCCTCTGGCTGTATGTGCTGGATCATAACTGGGTGAATAAGCTTCCGCCTGCGATGGTAGGGGCTGAACCAGCCAGTGACATACCTGGAGCAAATCCAGACAGTGTTAGTGGGTCAGTAGTGGCTAGGCGTTAACTGTGGGGGAAACTTAAGAATCTGACAGAAATTTTTAGAAGTCTTTCTAGAAAACCTTTGTAAACAATGCCAGGAGAGATATGGGGTCGCTTACCTATTCCTTTCCAGAAGTGTATCCACAGAGCTGCGCAGGTGAAGACTAATTTGTGTGACGAGGGCATGGATGTCACTGCCAGGGAAGGAACCAGCTCCCTCACTGCCAGAGAGTCACACTGAGAACAGTGCTCCCCAGAGAAGGGAGGGATGGGGGAATGTCAGGTAGGATGGGATTACCTCATAGTATCCATTATTTCCAGGCTTGAAACCCCAAGGAAGTGTTCCACTCTCAGCTTAACATCCTCAGCAAAGCCTCCTGAAACCATCCACAGGCAGAAGTGGTCAGAGAGGCCTCCTGACCTTTGGGTGCTATGGGCAAAAGGCACAGCATCTCAAGGGGAACCCCAGCCAGGCTAGCTGGCTGCTTTTTATTGAGCATGTGAAAGATATTTGTTAAAGATCAGGGAGTGGAAATAAGAATGGTATTGTAGGTTGTATCACTATATGGATGAGCCCTTGACCTCACTACATAGTCCATGTGTACGTGTCCAGGCTCAATCATGGGCGGAGTACTCTACAGCACCCGAACAAACTGCTGGGGTGTGTGAGACCAGGGCACACACCTCCAGGTCAGCACAAAAGGCTGTCACAGGAAGCCATTGACAGACGGTTCCTAGCTCTGTGTTGGGAGGCCTAGTACAATCACTTCTCAAAAACAGGAAGAGCTAAAGCCAACACCACTAACACCAATGTCTCTTCAGTATTGGTGTGCTTAGTATTTCTGTCTTTCTGCACATTCTAGACAGTTTACAATGAACAACTGCCAGAAACAAACTAAAATAAGAGCACCTCTACATCCTTCCTCTACTCCACAGCTGTTAAATGTTTTTTTGGGGCCCTTCTTTCCATGTGGACATCCTTTGAGCATTGTAAATTCCTATATAGTCCTATAGTTTAAATGGGCATGGTTTATTTCACCAAGGCCCCACTGCCTACACATGCTCTGAGCATTGTCCATGCCTGCCTTCTGCAGTCAGTTGTCCCTATAGGTCATCTGGGTGTAGGAGCACTGGGATAAGGGGCTCCTGCGGCAGTGGAAGCATCTAGTTCTGCAGTCTGCCTCACAACTCTCAGGATACTTAGGCAGCAAAGAGAACCTGCATCTGAGGTATTAATTTCTTATATAGGGTCTCTGAATCTGTTGGGCATGTCCGTTCTAACTTCCCAATCTACCCGAGGCTCAGGCTGAGGATCTAGGTATAGGCAATCCTGAACCTGACAAGCAAGTGGACAAACTAGAAACATGAGTCTTCTTCCCCTGTAAAGGACTACAATCCAGACAGAGCAGGGCAACGATCAAGGGAATCCAGCACTTGGCCTCCTTTCTTCCTGTCTGGCTAGGGGTAAGTAGGAGGCTTAAACTGTTGGCTGGGACATACCATGTACAAGTAACTGTAGACAGGCAGCCAGGGATGGGATTCCCACAGGGAGCAGTTCACACAGCACAGAGAAGTGGTCGTACCTATGTCCAGAAGAAGAGTATTCAGCTCCACAGCCCTCATTCATCTCAGCATGATGATGATGCCCTGATCTGGGATACTCCAGTTTTGAGGGGTTCCTAGGCTGAGAACCACTGTGGACAGCCTGATGTATCCCAGTATCTGACTTAGGGCTTTTAAAGTGGGTTCCATGTCATGGGATTTGGCATTAGATTTGTTATGATGCCCCTAGGGAGGAGCCTGTGTACACTCAAGGTGGAGTGTCTATAGAGCCTTTATTATCCCTTTTCTAGTACTGGTCTGCTTCTTGGAGGCCTTTTCTGTGGCCTGCATACTATCTATCCACCTCATGCTTTCCCCTAAGGCCCCAGGAGGTCAACAGGTTAGAGTGGGCATCTGATCCCTCCAGTGCTGGGCAGAGTGCCTCCTGGCCTGGTCTCAGTTTCTTCAGCTGTAAGGGTATAGAGAGATGTTCCTGAGTGTGGCAGATGAAGGCTGATGGAAGAGCCAGGAGCCAGTGATTACATCACCACCATCATTTTTCCTTTACCTCTGTGAGTCACCAATCACTAGTCACCATGCAAGGCATAGAAAAGGCTTCACTCTATGTGAGTCTTGGTTTAACCCACACCTCAATGTACTTTACTGGAATGGCAAATGCTTAATAAATCTTCATGACCCATCTAGAATCATCTCTGAAGCCAACCAGTGGACATGTACTGAAGCCATGAGCAACTCCTATAACTATACTAAACAACCTCACTTGGCTAAGAACCCTGCTCTGTAGTCACATTTTGGAACCTGTGAAGGCCCCAGAGGGACACCTTTCCAGCTCTTCCTAGTAGAGTTGCCAGCTTCAACTGGTCCAGCTCAAAGGTTGGAACCTCATGCTAGGACTTGGCCAGAACCAAAGACTGGGTTCATTCTATTTTTCAAAGGGTGGTGATATCCTAAAAGAACCAGGATTAATCTTCATGCCCTGCTACACGAGACATACGGTATCACTCAGGAACTATGCGGATTACAGAGACTAGAGGACTACATGCTCGTGGTTCTGAGCACTCCAGTGTCTCCTCAGCAGAGTTAATGAGGCAGCCACAAAGGCATGAAATGCATGATTTAGGAAGGGGCAAGGCTAACACTAAACAGGTTGCCATCATGGGTGATGGGAACTGTTCCCCACTCCCCACACCCAGCCTGAGAGCTTACCTCTGCCAGCCAGTCAGGATGATTCCTTGCAGAGTATCCACTGGACCACTGACTGCCACCTGTAGCCACTGCTCATGGTTTCTAATATGGTGCTCAACAGGGGGCAGGGCCTGATTAGCCCCTGTGGCCCCCTTGAAGGCACTGGCAGCCCACAGCCTCTGGAAGCCACACTCCTGGTACTTTCCCATGAGGAAGACTAGGCAAGAAAACAAGCAGATGAGCAGCTCTCACAGAGAGGCCCTGGATACACAGCTTAACCAGAGCAGCCGAGAGCCACAACTATCCTAGCAGAGAGGAAGACTACAACCATTCCCATATGGCCTATGGTTTATCACTCATAGGGATAAATACTACAGGAAGAGCTGGAAAGAACCTGGGATAATCTGGAGCCAGCAGGGGATCCTATGCCAGGACAGGAGGCTTTGCATGGCCTTTCTGTTCCATGCTGGTCAGCCAAGCTAATGAGGTGCCTGTATTCCCAAGCTGAACAGTTCAGGTTACAGGGTCATGGAGGACTGGGAAACAATCATGCAGGCACATGCACGAGGAATGTAGCGTGAGCAACCTGTACTGACTTTTGCTGTGGACATCCAGGTCAGCTCCATAGTCCCAGAGCACAGGCTCCACCAGTTGAGGCACCCCAGATGCTGTCAACAGAGCAAGGCAATGAGTGTGGGACTGACCACTCAGGTCACACCCTTGCTCATAAGACACATTTGTTTTATATAAGGGTCTCACTTTGCTGCCCAGGCTGGCCTTGAACTCTAATCCTCCTGCCTCATCCTCCTAAGTACTGAGATTATAGTCATGTGCCACCACATTTACCTCTGGCACATTCATTTAATATTAAAGTGGGAACATAAACCATTTTCTAAAGTCTAATGGGTTTTAAATATAGTTTGCAGCTGTGCTAGGCTTTTGGCTATGAACACCAGAGCTACAAATGATATTTGTAGCTACCTGCCTTAGTGAGGAAGGACTCCTAAGCTCTTCTCCAAGCTGCTGACTTTGCAGTCTCAGGGAACTGGAACACATCTTTAATAGGAGCTGATTCTAATTCATAATGTAAAACATACACTAATCTCACAGAGTATAGGTACGGCTGGCTCTGGATCTCTGCATTAAACTCAGGGTTCAGTGGAGCTAGGTGATATGTTTAAGTGCTAACTCCCAGGCTGGGGAAGGTCCTCTTCAGCTTTCATCTCCATGCTTTGGGACAGTGTGATACCAGGCCCTGGCATCTATAAGGCTGGCCACAGAGTGCACATGGGGCTAAAGCAATCAGAAGCACTGGACACTCCCATGGCCTCTCTGGGCCTGCCAGCAGCCACACCAATTTCTGGCCCACATTACTGCAAGGCTGTACAGTGACTTGAAAGGAAGGATCAAACCCAACATTTTCACTGGAGCACACATTAAGCTTCTGGAACTTGAGGTCCTGGGCAGCCACATGTAAGCCCCCATCCATACAGACCCTGCCAACCTTTTAGCTGTTCCTGGGGGATGTCTCGTAGCATGTCATCCCACACCAAGGGTGTTGTGCCAGGGTGCTGTGCCAGCACATGGCTGGCTACTGCCTGCATGTGGGACAAACACAATTTCGCATGGCTGTTTTGTTCCTGCTGTAGCCACAGTTTTGAGGTCTCCCCCTCGCCCAAGTAGTAGACCTAGGAGGAAGAAACAGGATGGGATTGCATCTGTTGCCACCCTTACATCCAGGTTCACAACTGTCCTGAATCTTGGGGTAGGTGCAAGTACAGAGGAGACTAATTGAACCCAGGTCCTCTGGAAGAGCAGCCAGTGCTCGTAACCGCCGAGCCATCACTCCAGTCCCCCATCCTCTTCTTTTTGGAGGCAGGATTTCATATAGCCTAGACTGGTTTGTAATTCCTTATGCTGTAAAGGTTGCTGGGTTACAAGTGTGTATCATCATATCTTACTTTCAGATTTCCTTATTTTGAGATACCACAGCCCTAGCTGACCTAGAACTCATTGTGTAGCCCCGGGTAGTCTCAAATTTGTGGCAATTCTTTTGCCCTAACCTCCAAGTGCTAGGATTACAGGTGTCACCCACCATGTTCAGCTCCTTTTAAAAATGGAAATCTCAGGGCTGAATGCCTACAAACCCAGGCAGTGGCCTTTGTCTCAGACTCTCCAGTCCTGCCCCATACATCTGGAATCTAGCCAGATAAGCAGAGGGGTAGAGGCTAGCCACTGGGTAGGCTAGGTAGGAGAACATACCACAGACACCCCAGGGGAACACTTTTCCCAAATAGTGCTTCAAGATCCAAACATAACACTTTCTTCCTCTCAACACCTCAAATGCATTTCTTTGGCTAGAACAGTCTGAAAGGGCATGAATTTGCTCACGGCTGGGACTGGCTCTGTCCCTGCAGGAGGAGGAATAGGTAAAGATGCCTATCCCTCTGGATGGCAGTAACATCTGATATACAGGGTACCTTACCTGGGCTCTGCAGGGCTGCCCTATGCCAGGTGACACTCCTCTCCAGAGATGTCATCTTGAATAGTTCCATAAATAAGACTATCTCCTTGGCAATCCCTGCCTTTATTCTTTAGTATTTGGACTATTTCTCTATTCAAAAGAATCCATAGGACCTGGCATGGTGGTACATGCCTATAATTCTAGTGTTTGGCAGGTTGAGGCAGAAGAATCAAAAGACCAAATCAGCCTGGATAATGTAATGAAACTGCATCTCAAAAAAATTTTTAATTAAATTAAACCAAACCAAAAGAAAACACAGAGGGGGCTGAAGAGATTGCACTGGAAACTCTTGCAGAGGATCCAGCTTTGATTCCCAGCACCCACAAGGTGGCTCACAACCATCTGTAATTCCAGTCCCAGGTGATCCTGACACCCTTTTCTGGCCCCTGTGGGTACCAGGCACACACATAGTACACAGACATACATGCAAGCAAAATATCCATACACATAAAATAAATAAGTAAATAAATGAATACAAAAAGAGAGAGAGTCGGGCGGTGGTGGCGCACGCCTTTAATCCCAGCACTTGGGAGGCAGAGGCAGGCGGATCTCTGTGAGTTTGAGGCCAGCCTGGACTACCAAGC